TTGAAACCCTTAGGCTATCCACGTAAGCATTTTTAACTTCTTCCACAAAGTGACACGTCAGCTTATATTTTCCTTCAACAAGAGCTTTTGTTTTCGGTTGATTAAGAAGTCACGTTTGTATGTTGGGCCTAGAGGCCCACTTCAAATTTCCAATTACATGATGCATCTTTTGTTCCATAAACGTCCCACATCGGTTTTGTATGCATATTTACATGGGAAGGAAACTTTACTCCATAGTATTATAAGAATCGGTCACGCATCAGAAAACGAACGCCTCTTCCCCTACCCGTCATCTTCCACATGGCCACAAAGATCTCTTCGGTTTCAAGCTCCTCCCATCTCCCTTCCCAGACTCTGATTTTTAACTCCCCCTAGGTAATTTAATTTTAGATTCAAATTTATTATATCCACTTCAATTTTGTATACGATTTTCACTTCCAGAATCTGCAACACTCTCTTCGCTTCAGAAATCTGGCGGACCGCTGGTAATATATTGTCTTCTTTATTCTCCTTTTCTCCAGTCTATGGGTTTTCGAAATCCGCACCTTGCCCATATTTTATATTCATGTAGTTTTTCGTGTACATATATCATGCCAAGTTACTGGTTTTTTCTGTTGTGTGATGATGGAGAAGCATCGCAGGATGATAAACAAGCTTTTCACGCTGACCAATTCACGAGAAGTGGTGAACGCACGAGTATTTAGAGAGAAACGAGGTAAGCGAGAGATGGAATAAGAGGTGAGTGCATCTAGAGTTAAGCGAGAAACATGAACGATATCCAAGATATGTTTTGAAGTGAGTGTTTACCGTCTCTTTATCTTTCATACGAATGAAGACATCTTTTTACATTCATGCTTCTTTTATAGCTTCTCTTCTCTTTTTTTTTTCCGGGTTTCTTTTTACATTCATGCTTTGTTTAATTTGTGAGATGTTTTTGTGTTGATCAGCTAAGGTGTGAGAACACAACCGTGGTTCGTTCATGCATTCAATCTGGATAAGGACTCTTGGGTCAAACCACTTTCAGTCATAAAATTTAGATCTTTT